TTATAGCTTGCTCACTGCATAAAGAATCCTTTTGTTTAAAGTCCCTGCATGCTGTCAAGGTGATGTAAAAGAGCCTTAGTGCAAATGAGATGTCAGGCCTCCATTGTACAAAGATGCCTTGGAGTAACTAAACCTCAGGTCCCCGCCCCAGTCTCTTACACCAAAGGTTAGGTATCTCCTACCCGCTTTGCACAGCTATAAGTGATTACACACGGTGCAGGGCACTTGAGACGCGGGCTCAGAGTGTTCACTTTCCTGCAAACTGTTGAGCGAAGGAAGGTTTCCCATGTAGGTCATACACCAGCTCCCGTTGCCTTCAGTGTGTGCAAGATCGGGTCACTAATGTGTGCGTCCCATTCTACTCTGCCCCACTGAAACAACCTGAATTATCTTCAGCCTCTTCTGGGAGGCGTTCCCCTTAGCACTACAAGCTGTGGGAGGAGCAAAGAAGGACACGCCCCATAGTCCATCAACCCACAGAAATAAACGGCACACGCTGACCGGGCTGCAACTTGTGCAGTCAGGTGATGGCATCAGTCAATTAAAAGCTGCAAAATAGCTGGCAGTGTTAACACAGAGTTTCTCAACACAATTAGGAAGGTTTCTGGTCGGAGGTTAGTCCTTGCAGCAATGCAGTACATCTGCGTCTCTTGACCTAAGGCTCTGGTTATTTCCACTGTTTTCTACCTTAACGAGGTAATTTCCACTGACCAGAAAAAAAACTTGATTTAAAGAATCTTTTGCATTTGTGAATTTAAAAGGAATGTGTTACAAGGGATGCTGTCAATTTACAATCTAGTCAAATTCCATTCCTCCCAAATAATTAAAAAGGATGCGGTTGACTTGACGTCTAGTCCAATGGTGTTTCACACAATAAAAAAAAAATCACCTTTTTTTTGTCTAAAATTTGTTTACCTACTAGTGTTACATGTCACACCGAGCTTGGAAAGAGATTGAAAACAAAACAAAACCAACAGCGTGTTCATCTTTCATTCAGTTTGCCTGTGACAACACTTGGCACATGCACTGTTTGTTTCCCCTGAAAAATTAATCATTGTGCTCCAGCAATAGGGGAAAAAGAAACATTTCAAAATAGGAAAATATGCTTATAAAGTCATTAAAAACGGACTGTGGACTTTAGGGACAGGAACAGCACTTGAGTTGTGACTAGGTGATCAAAAAAAATTCAGTCAAAACTTGTTTTTCATGGAGAAACTGAGTTTAAATGAAATTTTTGCTGAAAAGCATCTGCTTTCCAAAGACAAAAATGATTTAATTAAAAAAAAAGAACATCTGCCATGATCTGTGGCCTCCCCTCACCATAATTAAAATTAAATCTAGCAGTGACAGATTTATTTATTTCATTCTTGCGAAGTGCTCGGCTTTTACAGGTGGGTGGATCAGAAGGTAGCTAGATTTTTCTGTTGAAAACATTTGGCCTGTATGTAACAAAACATACTATTGACTTTGTAGGTCGAGGTTAATCATCCCTTGAGGTTAAAAAAAAAAAAAGAATCTAGATATTTAGGTCAATACCTTGTACCCAGAGCAATGAATTTTTAAAGGCAATTTTTGGCAACAGGACTAACCCAAACCAGTAACCCAGGATACATAAATGGACGTCATTTGTTACTTTGCATTTCACAGGCTGCATTTACATTTGTTGTATTAACTGTTTGGTTCTTTTAAAGACACATTTGACACTACTCAGCCTATAATTGTGAGCCTGCTTCTGGGTTTCATGCTCCCTGCAAGGAGCCGCTGTATTTCCATGTGACTTGGTATATTTTAGCCACAATCAACAATTAAAAAAGTAAATAATTCTTAAAACACTTTTGGGCAAAAAAGTTAAACTGTTAAAGAACAACCATATTTACACTTCATTTTTTTAAACGGGGCTTGTTTTTAATGTTGACGTTATTGAATTATCAAAGAACCCAAACAGGTGTTCTACCTTCCATTAGCAGATGGATTCTAAAATCCTTATAGCGATTTGCCTTCAATATTTTCAAGGTGTGCACATTTCTCTCACAGTCAGTCTTTTAGCGCACTGCTCCAAACACAAATACACAACCTATCCGTAGATTTCCATTAGAACGTTACTCTTCTCTTACATCTGTTCAATGACGGAGCTCAAGCCCCCCCACATCCTCCTTAATATTCTAAGCTTTCTCTGAGTCACAAAAGGGACATGGTAAAATTCTGGGATAAGTGTTTTTATTTGTCCATTCCCACTTCAAGAGGCTTAATATTATGCACTCTGATTGTTCCCACTGGCATATGTTTTTGAAGGTCTGAGGGGGTCTAATTTCCCCTAATGCTCGCCTGTATCTCCCATTAACCTCACTGGGAGTTATGGGAAGGCATCAAGAGCAGAAGAGACCTCTCCACAGAGACAGACCTTCTTTCAGATGCATGGCGCTTCTGTGGTCATCCATCCTGCTTTAATGGTCAGCTGTTCATTTCATTCTGCCACAACAAACTGATTTATTACATGGCCACATGTCCACTAGGCCTCCTTTTAATAGCTGCAAAGACTTTTTGTTCTTGTTTATAAACCATTCATCTACATACAAGGTTTATGGGCTTAATAAGTGCACAGCAGCTGGTAATTAAGTTCCGCTGGTTCAAATTGACTTGAAGCACCTAATTCAGTAATGCCCCATTGGCTGAGCCAGCCTTGACCTGAAATCTTGATGGACACTGTAGGGACCAGCCACAAATTCTGTTTCAAAGTACAACACTAAGAACCCAGGTTTGAAATCTAAGGTCTCTTTCCAGCCCAGAGCTGACTTTGTCTAGCAAGGCCTACGGCACAGACAATTAAGTAATTATTGCATGGCGGCCCTGGGAATAGGGAGGGGAGGGGTCAGGCAATTATGTAATGTCACCTCATGAAGCAATCACTGGCTGCTTGTATAACACGGCATGACATCCACTCCTAAAATTAACTTAAAATGGCAGACTGAAGGTGAGGGTCGGGGCTTACTCTCCAGTCTGCCTCTTTCAATTTGAGGGGTCAGATCTCCCTGACAGGGTTATGGCAGGGAGCTCGCCAAAGCTCATGGTGTCTGTCCATTAAAATGTTAGGATTTAAGAGAAAATACGCATTGCTTCCAGACTGTTCACCCCTGTTGCTGGGTTCCATCATCCAAAGGGCCTCTTACTAAAGTGCATAAATTGGAATATAGTTGTCCCTCCTCGAATGTGAGTCTAATTAGATAGATATCTTTTCTTTAAAAGCCTAAACAACTAGAAACGCAGTGCATCAAAAGCAAGACACCATCCCCATTCTTCTCTTCCACTTCATGTGGTGTTCCATTTTGATGCTAAAATGATTCAAAAACTCTGGCTGGAAATATTTTTAGCCATGGGGGAGATAAACCAAAGGTCCTGTGAAAGCTGAAGTTGACAAAAGGGAAATAAGTGCATGGAGATCGACTCATTAGTTACATTTTTGACTGAAAGCTGTGTGTGTCATGCACATATTGACTTTAAAAACCTTGTATGTACCAGCTTATGTGATGGAGAAATCCTCCTTTTAGAAAACTATAGTCCTTGCTGGGCCCCAAGCCAGACCTGGCCATTCTTCTCCCCAAATCCCCTTCACTGTTTGCTCTGCTTTTCCTTCGTGCAGCAGTGTTTGAACTGGTTACTCCTTCACTGTATTCTCTGACGTAGTCAATATACTGGCCTTTCAGAACCAGCGGATACTGTTCCAAAGACGTGACTTGCTTCATTTTGGCATTTCCACAGTCGTCCTTTATATACAATTTCACTTTTTAATTTAAAATTATTTTATTTTGCTGGTCGCTTCCATATTGCTTCGTTCAAAATCCAGAAAACAGTCCAGAGCGAGGACAAATAAAATCATAGCTTAAGTGCAAACTAACTTTCCAGTGAACTGCTATGTGCATTTTATCCACTCCAGTGTCTTTCTTCCAGTTTAAAGAACTCCTTAGTGGGCCACCCCTAAGACCACCACCAGGTTTCCTGAACCTATTAAACTCTCCTCCTTCTGTCTTGTCCTCAGTGTTGCCTACTGCATCCCCAACTACTTTAATCGATGAGCAAAAAGAAAGAAAGGAGAAGTTGTATGGGTACTTTGTTTGTATTAAGTAGGTATAAAACATGAAGGTGAGGCTCTGTGCCTCTCTTTTCGCTTCAATGGAGGATATCAGCTTTTTGTGTTTTCTTTCTTTCCTGACGGGATTCTTGTGTTGAAAATACTTGTCGTCATGGCGACACATACCAAAAAATTGCACTGTCATGCACAGGAGCGTTGAGTGAAAGTCTTTGCCATTAGGAAATGGGATTAAACTGTGGGAGTGGCTAAGAAGAGGGGACTGGCCAGAGACAAAGTCTCCTCATTTTTTTATTTTATTAGTTATTTCTTTGATGGCTGTGATGAAGAACTGAATGGTTATGAAAAGCTGGGTTAGCTGTTTTCAGTTGCCAGGATAGAAAGTGTTAGAGAAAGAAACTGGCTTCTCAAATCTCAATTATGATGCTATCGCATGTGATATAAAAATTGTCCTTTTTTCCCCCTTAATGGAAACTGCATTGCGATTTCCAGGAATGCTGAATAGGCTTTCCTCAGTTCCCGCTGATAGAAACAGACACTGTGTGACTTCCCCTACAGCATCTGAGTTGAATCACTGAGAACTAACTTGACAGCAGGCAACATGCCACTGGCCTTTACTGGTATTCACTGGCTTGTCTGACCTTCTGACCCTCAGGGTCTGTGAAAGGTGAGAAATGCCAGCTTTTGGCCTTCTTTCATTCCTTCATTCAGTCTTTCTTTCTTTCCTTCCAGGTTCCTAACCCGATCAGCAAATGACTCAAAGGTGTCTTTCTACTTGGAAATATCAAAGTGAGTGAACTGGCAAAAAGAGGAAGCTCACAGGAGACAGAGAGGGAGAGAGAGAGAGAAAGGAAGAAAGAAAGAGAGACCGGCGGCTAGAAGGGGTTGCCTCTCTACTTGTGTAATACTGATGTCACTACACCACCGTGTTTCGATGTCTGTAGGGTGGCGGGGGCAGCACAGTGCCAGGCTTCAGGGAGAACTCAGAGAGGTATTCAGGGTTCTCTGCCACGATGGGCCGGATCCGTCCATTTTGTTTGTAAAAATATTTTGTGCTGTACTCCTGCAGGTAGTCCGGGTGCTGGAGGGTGCTTCGCGGTGGCAGACTGTGATTCCAGTAATCCGGGTTGTTGAAGGCCTTCTTGGATTTCTCTGGCAAAGGAAGCCCATTGTTCTTCAGGTACTCCGCGTTTTCCAAGGTATTAGCAAAGGTGCTGAGGTACAACGGCTCGTTCACATACTCGTCCTCTGCTTTGGGCTGCCCGTTCGGGGCGCTGTGATACTCGGGGTTGTCCAGAGCTTGAAGATCACCGTTCTTTCGTCGAGAGACAAATGGGTTCTCCTCTACTGGGTTCAGGTAATCTAAAAAAGATAGAAGGTATGTCAACACATGGTAATATGTCCACACAGCAGCAAGCATCTCTGACTGGCAGCTCATTTGAATGTAAACTTGAGACCAAGGTTCCCAATGGTTACAGCACTCTTTACTTATCTTCACTTCACTACTATCAAATAGTGCCAAGTCCCTAACTGAGATTTGGGCCACACTGAACCAGGTACTCTACAGACTGATAATGGGAGACAGTCCCTGCACAAAAGAGGTTAGTGCCTAAACATAGACAAAGGGCAGGGGATAGGAAACAGAGAGACTAAGTGACTTGTCCAAGGTCACCAGAGAGTATGTGGCAGTGCTGGGAATAAGTATTGTTGATTAATTGCAGTTACCTCATGCAATTAACTCAAAAAAATTAATCGTGATTAAAAAAATTAATCGCAATTAATTGCAGTTTTAATCGCACTGTTAAACAATAGAATACCAATTGAAATGTATTAAATATTTGTGGATGTTTTTCTACATTTTCAGATATATTGATTTCAATTACAACACAGAATACAAAGTGTACAGTGCTCACTTTATATTATTATTTTTGATTATAAATATTTTCACTGTAGAAATGATAAACAAAAGAAATAGTATTTTTTCAATTCATCTCAAACAAGTACTGTGGTGCAATCTCTTTATAGCGAAAGTGCAACTTACAAATGTAGATTTTTTTGTTACAAAGCTGCATTCAAAAACAAAACAATGTAAAACTTCAAAGCCTACAAGTCCACTCAGTCCTACTTCTTGTTCAGCCAATCACTAAGACAAACAAGTTTGTTTACATTGATGAGAGATGAGGCTGCCCATTTCTTATTTACAATGTCACCTGAAAGTGAGAACAGGCATTTGCATGGTACTTTTGTAGCCAGCATTGCAAGGTATTTGTGTGCCAGATATGCTAAACATTCATATGCCCCTTCATGCTTCAACCACCATTCCAGAGGACATGCAACCATACTGATGACAGGTTCTGCTTGATAATGATCCAAAATAGGTGACATTGTAAACAAGAAGTGGGCAGCATTATCTCCTGCAAAAGTAAACACATTTGTTTGTCTGAGCGATTGGCTGAATAAGAAATAGGACTGAGTGGAATTGTAGGCTCTGAAGTTTTACATTGTTTTATTTTTGAATGCAGTTTATTTTTTTACATAATTCTACATTTGTAAGTTCAACTTTCATAATAAGGAGATTGCACTACAGTACTTGTATTAAGTGAATTGAAAAATACAATTTCTTTTGTTATTTACAGTGCAAATATTTGTAATAAAAATAAATATAGTGAGCACTGTACACTTTGTATTCTGTTTTGTAACTGAAATCAATATATTTGAAAATGTAGAAAACATCCACAAATATTTAAATAAATGGTATTCTGTTATTGTTTAACAGCGCCATTAATCCCGATTATTATTTTTTTTAATCGCTTGACAGCCCTACTGGGAACCAAACCCAGATCTCTCTGAGCCCAGTGCTTTAACCGCGAATCACTCTCTAGAAGAGTTGGCTGTATGGTCCACTGAACAAAGAACTGGAAGGAGGATACTGGGGTCTATGCCTGCCACTGACTCTCTGTGCGACCTTGTCTAAGTCACTGAAACTCACCACTATCTCAGCATCCCTACCTGGAAAATGCTAGATTAGCATTATCTCCACTTAAGTCTCCTCTGTACTATAAACATTTCCACAGTCTAACCCTGTATGGCTGTTTTATTAAAAACACAGCTATCTGACTGATTAAAAGCTGCCCCGACTGAGTGACAAAGGGCCTCAGAATGTGGAGGAACAAAGATTCTAATTAGCACCGAGAGGGACACAGAAGAGTTCCTGAGCTAGCACTAAACCGAGAGTAGGACTGTGTGAAATTAGTACAAAATGTCAACACTGTGATGTAAACAATACTGAGGGTCACAGCTGAAAGGAGGAAAGGTTAATGGCACGTGGTGCTTGGAGGGAAGAGGAGGGTAAGTCACTCTCACACAGCAGCACAAAGGATTTTCGATTTCCACCAGAAACCCATTAGGAACAAAATGTTGGCAGGCTGGATGGTTGGGAGATATTGCACACCTCTTCTGGACTAATGCAACATTGTTAGCAAGTTCTCTCTTGAGGTCAGAGCCTGTAGCCCTCAAGCCTTGGTTACCATGTGTTAACTGACCTACAGGGTCTCAACAGCGCTCTATGAGAAACAATGTTTCACTGTAAAACACAAAGCACATCAGATGCAGAGAGGGCAGGGTGACCAAGAGGTCAATGGAGCTGTTTGCAAGGGTAGTGGACTGTAAATGGAATTGCTTGGAGGTTAACTATAGAAAGAAAAAAAACATCACTGATGGGGGACATCTGCAGTGAGAAATGTCAGAAGTATCCAGTTATTCAAGTCCAAAACCAGCTGGATAAAATCCACTTCTTGAATGGATTTTGTCTTTCATCCTGAAGGATCCCAATGCATCTTATTAGATTATGCACTTAAGAGTGGCATTAAGCCACAGCCCTGGATAGGGGGTGGTGTGCACCTCACTGGGAAGTAGGCACAATACACCTGAATCTCCACTGCCTTGCATCTAGTGTCTCATTTACACTCTGGTGTGAGTGAGTGGAGAACCCCTGCAAGGCAGTGAAGATTCAGGCCGTTGTCTCCAAGGAACAGGGGCCGGGGTAGCTCATGGTGCACCTCTGGAGAGGGTGCAATGTGCGATATTCCATTGTAGCCAAGGATTAAAGAGATCAGGTACATTTAGGATATAGAGGTGAAATATCAGTATTAATTAATGTTATAACAGAGGGCCAAGAGGCCTTAGGTCTGTAAGATATTTAGCTTAGCCAAACGAGGCCTCAGGCCTAGATAGGCTGACATGAGCAGCTAACCAATGAGTGACCTTGTGTCACAAGCTGAAACAGTTACAGTAATAGATGTGTTACCTGCTGGTATTTAGGAAATGTATATTGCAATGGACCTGGTCAGAAGGGTTTGGGGATTTTTGCAGACCTAGGATGTCAGCAGATGTGCTAACCACAAGTTGTTATGGTGACTGAGGGACCTAAATGTTAACAAGTATATTAGGAACTAACAAGTTAGCCTGTGAAAAACAGGGCACCTCAAATTTAATGGAGTGTGGAAGCACCAAAGGAAAAGGGGTTGAAACCTTCATAAATACGTCTGAACCCCAGTGGGTGTCAGTGTAACTCATTATAAAAGGCATAAACCAGCCTGTGTGACATGGGAGAGGATGATGAAGATGATGCTGAGGAAGTTAATGACTCCCATTCCGGAATTGTGAGTGATGACAATCAGAAGGCCAGACACTTTGTACTACCTCTCTGTCTGCTGTTGTATTTCACTGTTTGCAGGATTGTTTATCAGCTCAGTGGATTTGTTAATAAAGGGACTCGTGATAAACTGCAATTCTTTCTTGTGTATTCCTCGGCTCACTCATTCTAATAATATTGGTAACAATCTTCCTGATGCTGTAGCCGCTGACGAGACTGAACACATATCGACCATTGCAGGCTCAGAGATTAATCAATAATCAATATAAAAATCTATCAGGCAACACCTTGTTCCAAAGCAACTAATCCCCCCTCTCAGAAGGCTACAGTCACTAACCTCAAACAGTCCAATCAGATAATTTATACAAGGTTTTTCACTAGCACCTCTCTTGAGCCCTAATTCATCAAAGCACTTAAAGACATGCTTAGAGTTAAGCACAGACTCAAGTGCTTTGCTGAATGAGGGTGCAGATGAGCAAAGCTCCTTGCATCCTTTTCACCTCCCCTTGGCACCTGTGAAGTCACAATCCAGCTCTATATATTGGGCCATGGAATTTGGCTGCTGTTCAACAGTACCAGTCACGTAAGTTCTTTAGAAACACAGGAAAGTCCACAATAACTTCTCCAATGGAAAACACAGAAGGAATTTAGGTACAGTAGGAACATGTAATTATACATGCTGGAATTGGGCATGTGTGTGTGTGTATTTCAGCCAAAAATTTGTGATTAGCTCAGTCAGATCTTTCACCGCAAAATGCTAGAGGTTTACCTGTTGTGGGTTTGTCTCGCATCGGAGTCATGTACCCATCTTCATCCAGCTCGCCCCGTTGGCCCCGCTCAGGTACAAACACTGTTGGGTCAGCGCTGTACCTCTGAGTGTTGCTGTCCTCTTGTGCGAGGGCGGCCACCTGCTTCCGTAGCGTACCATTACAGCAAGTGTCGTCAAAGATCTCTGCCGTGGCCCCCTGGATGGCTGGCGCCTCCGGAGTTATGCAGCTGACAGCTCTGTATGGCGCAGGCACTCCTTGTTCTGTAGCAAAGCCGCCGCCTCTGTACACAAACTGGTTCTGTGAGAAAGACAAAGTGGTGCAAGAGAGAAGGACAAAATAAAGCAAATGACTCAACACAGATGTGGAAGCTCCTTTGGTTTCACATCAATGTTTCATTTTATCGAATGGTCAAAGCCTTGTCTAGGCCAGGGAGGCTTGCCACCATTACAACCTCTGGTGAAGATACACAAAGCCTCTATTTGCACTGGTGGTGCGTACCTGGGTTTCGGCCAGACTGGAACTCCAGCAGAGACAATAATGGTTTTGCCTGTTTACATGAATGCAACTACACAAATTGCTGGCCACCAACAGCTGGTAGTAGGGCAAGTCCCCAGTCTATGCAAGGCCTAATACTGAGATATACAGTAGCAGGGACCATAATGTGTAGGTCTCCTTAACTATTGGGCTGGCAAGAACAACTGCTCTCCTAACAACAAACCTTAAACCTGACCTGGTGGAAACCTTCCTCCAGAGAGGAGAGAAAAAGCCTCCATCTCTGAACTGTCTTTATTCAGAGTGGGCCTGGTTTTGGTGTAAACAAGTAGCAACAGTCGAAGAGCAGTCATGTAAACTATATACTTCTTCCATTGGGAACTGAATTTTAGCTTGGTAAGATGCTTTCCCATTGGTGCATCAACTCATTGCTTTGGCTCAACCTAATAACTGCTCGTCAGGATGAGCACATCACGTTCAGAATCATGACAAAACAGACAATCATCAAAGCACTTTACCTAGATCCTTTTTATGAACTATGATCACCCATTTGGGATGCATAGTACCATAGAACTCTGGGCTTCCTGACGAATCCAGACTGGGATTAGAGAGACCTTGTAGGTTTGCCCAACCTATGTATTAATTCTAGTCACTGTTGGCACTGGAGTAAATTGGGCAATTTGCGAAGAGAATAGGGGAGGAAACAGAAGGTTTAAAAAGCCGAAAAAACCTAAAGGATGAAGGTTGATTGTGAAATACTTACTCCTGACATAGGGGCGTAGGCAGGAGGAGGGCTGTGTCCAAGTTCACTCTAATAGGAAAGAAAAATGGAATGATGGATATAAGAAGAAGTCACATGAGCTGTATGAACTAATGGGGAAAAACATGCACAACAGTGAGGTTTACTGAAGAGGGGTCAATTCCGGCCATTCCTACTCAAGCAAAACTTCCAGTGAAGTCAGCAAGCCTTCAGTGTTAACGGGAGTCAGGGCCGGCTCCAGGGTTTTGGCCGCCCCAAGCAGCCAAACAAAAAAACCCCCAAAAAGCCGTGATCGCGATCGCGATCTGCGGCGGCAATTCGGCGGGAGGTCCTTCGCTCCGAGCAGGAGTGAGGGACCGTCCGCCGAATTGCCGCTGAACAGCTGGACGTGCCGCCCCTCTCCGAAGTGGCCGCCCCAAGCACCTGCTTGGTAAGCTGGTGCCTGGAGCCGGCCCCGATGGGAGTATTACTTGAGTAGGGCCTGCAAGATTTGTCCCTAGTTGATTAAGAATGGGTGCTTGCTGAGAGATGAGTGTGTCTTGCCAATATCCTTGGTTTAATTTTTGAAAGGACAGATTGTACAGAGAGACTGATGTACGCATGCAGAAGGCAGGCTCATCCCAGAGACACTGCAGAGCGGGGAAGGGTGTGGGGTGCCACCATTTCTAAGCAGCCTGGGCTATACAGAGAAGGTTTCCTTTTCCACTCTTATCAACCAGCGAGGACAGGGTAAAAACTATGGGAACTTTGAACTCAGGCAGCGGGTGAGCTAAGGTGGCTTTAAACCACCTTTGTGCCCTCCCAATCCTGAGCTGCTTCAGGAGATGGAGAGGCCCTTGGCCTCTTTTACATAGCCCTGGGGGCCTCTCTAAGTTCTGGAAGCCTCTCTGGGGTGTCCTATGGGCCCTGGCATTGCCTGCAAGCTCGGTAGAGCTGCATGCTGGGGCCCTGTTCCAGATGTGGCCCCTGCTCCTGACTCACCTCCTCTTCTCCAAACTCTACCCCCAGCATACCTCATATGCCAGGGCTTTCAAGGGACTGCTTGAAGGGCAGTGCAATCTTCTATAGAGCCTATGCAATGGGAATTGGTACAGGGCCTCTTTACACTGCGAGGCTTCTTTTAACTGCTGCCATAGGCCAGCATAGCAGTGAGGCTCTCACACCAGGTCTGCGCACACTAGAAGGTGGTCAAAACTAATATTTTTTGCCTTGAAAATTTTTGAAAAAAGGTTTCATTTCAATTCAATTTTTTTTAAAATTGTTTTTGATAAAAAAAATCAATTGAATTTAGTTGAACTACTTTATTTGGTTTCAGTGAGGAAAAAATTCCATTTATTCTTACTTTTAAAAAATGTGACCCATTTTTTTTGGACTGGAAAAAGGCGGGGTAGGGGGGAAATGTAAGACAAAGTGTGTGTGTGGGAGGAACTTTGCATCCAAAAAGTGCATGCAGCTTTACCACACACCAATCTCAAAGACAGTCCCCTTTTCCCCCCTAGTCAGTGGGATGAGTGAGTAGGAGTATGGAGGGACAGCAACAGGCTGGCGGCAGAAGCAGAAATGGACTGTAACCACTAGAACACGCTCCTCTACAGAACCTGGAATCCTGAATCTACATTCCTCTCATGTCAGCAAACAGTGCAGGCTTAATTCGGCCCCCCCTGTGCGTATGCATCACAATATTGTCTTTAATTCTGTAGTGAAAGAGACTGTCCAGGAAGGGAGAGATGTTATCCCTTAACAGTGCAGCGCAGTGGAATCAACAGCTTGTGAGAATTTACGGGCTAAATCAAGACAAAAAAGATAGAACTGAAAAGGCTTGTCTGCAAAACCGAAATAACTGCTGGTATGAGGGGTGGACAATGACGAGCAAACATCAGTACCTTTCAGGCCCATCAAACAAAGCAAGGATTCAGGAGGCAGGCCCTACAGGATAGCCCTCTGTCTGCAATCTGCTTCAGGAAATGAGGGTTATGACTGAGAAGCCTCCAAAATGAGCTATGAATTGCCTCTTTTGGGGGAATCAGGAAACAATACTAAGAACAGCATAGCTGTTAGTGGCTTTTGCGGTAATTTCCTTGATGAGTTCCTGGAGCTGAGCTCCCAGAGCTGAAGCCTGGATCATCACGCTGAGCAGAGGATTGGCTCCTGAATCCGGAGAGCCAAGGGGACTGGAGAAGTCCCAACGTATGCCCTTGGGAGAACGATTTGAAGGCCAGTGTGTCCAAGGAGCTTTCAGCACCTGCCTGCTCAAAATGTTGTCCCTCATGCCCCAATAACAGGGGATGCTGCAGGCCTGGAAAGCTCTCTCCCCTTCAGGGCTGATGAGGCTAGACAGCTTGGGAGAAACCTGCTGAGAATTTTATCCTGATTTGGAGGGGGGAAGGTTTAAGTTAGCCTCCAGGGCCAAAATAGGGCCTTTTGGAGCCATGCAGGGGCATCTGAAGACAAAATTTGGTGGGTACCCTGGATCTTCAAACAACCCCAAAGGAAAGAGGAAACGTGGACGGAGAGGAAATCATCCCCAACCGCTCTACAGTTCCTCTGGGAATAAAATAACGATGCTGGATGAGTGTGGTAGAGCATGAGGCTCTGGTTGGAGGCTGGAAGTGCCTGGCTGTGTTCCTTAAGTCCTTGCCAAATAGCTTTCTACTTCTGAAGGGCAGAGCTGCTCTGGGAACAGAGCTGTCGTTGCTGAGCCAGCTGTGGCTGCTGCCAGGTCTAGAACGGAGGATGATACAAGCTGCATGGAAAGTACCGTCCAAGGCAGGGGGATGAAGAGGACTTGGAGGAGACAGCAAGAAAATGCCTCAATCCTGTCCCAGCTGTGTGCAAAAAAATCCTCTCCCTTGAGCAGCCTGAGCTGCAAAACAGTGTGAAATGCAACCTCCAGAGGCATGGCAGCTTCCACCGCTCTTCCATAGCTGACAGATGGCCCAACTTATGGTGCCTATTAGAAAGGCTGATCTGGAGGAGAGTTTCAAGACTTTCACATCCACCTCTAGGGATATTTGGGATGATTCCTCTGAGAAAGGAAGGGGTGTACTGTATGCACTGTCTCTCTAGGGTTAGCAAGAGGCTTATGTACTTATCTGTTCATCACAAAGGTATACAGGATAGATTTATAGAGGGAAGGAAGCTACCAAATTTTGCAACTGCCTCCCTAAGCCTTTTCACCAAGAGAAAAGAGGAGCTGCTAGGGGAAGAGAAACCAGAACAAGAGTGTGTTCATGGCAGCAGAGAGACATCGAGACCTGCAGTAGGCACTTGAATATAGTCTGTGAGTTGGGATCACTGCCAACCAATCCTTCTGCAAGCTGTAGGATCTCGGAGGTGGATTTGGGGCACTAGAGTATATCCTTTTAAGCAGGGAAAAGATGTTGGATACAAGAGGTGGAGAGCTGCCCACTGAGATCTGAACACTACTGGTCTTGCCTGTTTCTCCAGACATAATGTCATTCGTCAGGCTTTTTTTCTTGGGGCTGGGATCTAGCAACACGACTGCAACTGAGAAGGAGAGAGATCAAGGTTGGGGAAAGATGCTTCCCAAGCTGCCAGCTGCTGATCAGAACTACTAGCAGTGGCTATTACTGCACCAGGGAAGAACCGGCACACTGAAAGGCAGGATCCTGTGCTCAAAAGAAAACCCTCTTCCCCTAAAATGCTACATTCAGGGAACATTCCTGACCTACTCCAAAAAGATGGGGCAGAGGCAAGGACTGAAGGGAGACAAGCAGGAATCTGTGGAGAAGGCAGAGGCTTCAGGCAAAACTGATGATTGCAGACTAGTCCTTTGTGAATCGAGAACTAGGGAGCGATGATCTAAGAGGGGCACTCTCGGAAACAGCAAGGACCCTGAATCAGGGATGGGAGTTCGCTGCCTATCGCTTAGTGCTCCTTTTTTTTCTTCATCTGTCCTCTGATCACTGGAATGGGTTCCCTAGGGAGGTGGTGGAATCTCCTTCCTTAGAGGTTTTTAAGGCCCGGCTTGACAAAGCCCCAGCTGGGATGATTTAGTTGGGGATTGGTCCTGCTTTGAGCAGGGGGTTGGACTAGATGACCTCCAGAGGTCCCTGCCAATCCTGATATTCTATGATTCTATGATCATCTCAACTTCCTTCCTGCTGTCCAGGAGATTAGAAAAGTGTAAAAGAGTCAGATGCCAGAGGAACGCTGTGTATGAACCAACATGGGGGTCCTATGCCTCTAGGCTGCAGAAAGAAAAAAAAAAGGAGTTGAGTCAATAGGAGTCTGTCAGCTGGGAGAAACAGGACTTTTTGCTGCCTTACTTCCTTGCAATTGGAACAAATATATTCTTCAGTTTGAATGGAATCATATTTGTACAACAGGGAAGGAATACACAACAATACACCTTCTATTTTTGTTTGTTCTAAGATAACCCAACCATGGGTTTGCTTTGCTTCATTAACCATGAATCATGCAGTCATCCCTATTCTGTCTCCATATTTTCTTGGCTATTATGCTTTCAATTAAATATACACTGCATGACCGTAACAAATTAACTGACCCCCTTAGAATAACCCATTACAAGACCCTCTTAGAATGACCCCATTCCAAGATATCTGGAGAGGACGTACCAACATGAATGCATTTATGGTAGCTTATGCTCACAACCTCTGGTCAGCAACCTGCACACTACATATGCTGCCAAGTAACATCACAGTAATGATGTTTTCCTCATGCATTTCCTTTATCTCGCCATAAATGCTAACCATAGAATTCTCACCATAGACTACTAACCAAGGCTCTTTTCATATCTATTGTTGTCTGAGCAGTTTCTTTTTACATTCATTTTATTTTTTGCCATCATTAAAGCTCTGCAGTCATTTTTTCAAAATAGGAGGCAAAGAGAACAGCTGTGGTGCAAATTAGTGGGTTGAAAATGCGATATAATTGTTGTTTAAATGTTGTTAAATTGCCTCCTAATTACAATGTGAAGTCATAATTTTGTAGGCTTGAAAAACAACTTTTCGTACTTAAGAACCAAGCCAACTTTTATTTTATTGTGTCACTTTTAGTTGGCCAGCAAA